ACATTTTGTGGAGTTTAGATTAAAAAGGTGTTAAATGGTTATTAAACACTCAGCGGTTTTTACATATATCTAGTGCTAGCAAGCAGTAGATGTATACAAAAACTTTTTTTTCAAAAACATTTCAAAAAGGGTTAATACTTACCCCTGTCTTCGCCGCGCGCTCCCGTCCGAACATCTGAAGAGTCTCGGGCCGCCACAAAGGATCTTGGGACGGGCGCATGCACAGTTCAGATGTTCGGCCGGGAGACGAGGAGAGACACAAGGTAAGTCTATGGAGCAGCGTGCACCCGCACAGACTCCGTGGGACATCAGAGGAGAGGAGGACAGAAGAGTCAGTGCTGGATCAGAGACCCGCAGCAGTGCTGGAGGGACAGATGAAAAAGGACAGCAAAAAAAGAAGATAATCCAATCAAGAGGCATCATTTAAGGCAAGTCCCTACAGCAGGATTGGGAAGGGCAAAAAAAACCCCTAAAAATCCGACTTTAATGTAACTTTAAGCAGTTATACTGGATGATTTTAACATCTCAACATTTCAAAACACCCCAATTTACAATAAGCCCACAATTGTGCTTTGAACCAATTTTTTTTTAGTAGTCGAAGCATTAAAAATGAATTCTGTACTGATAGAACTGTGCTGCCATTATTATCCTGAAGTATACCAATTTTATGACTTCAATATTTTAAGTCCCTGACACATATGGGACAAATATAGAGAGTTTGGACTTCACTGGCTAAATATTTGTTCTAGGTCAGTAAAATCCATTGTCAGTTAACTAGTATTTGCAGAGGAAGCTCGGAAACTGAAGGCTCTATTTCTCAGCACAGGTTTTCTTTAAAGCTAAACTCCAGTATACAAGTACCTGGATTTGTATTTATTTCGATGACATGTGCTGTATGTTCATGTGATAAGCAACATCTTAGAGAGAAATGACTGTTGGCCTGTTGCTGCTCCTTTATTGTCCAATCACAGGCTAGGGTCAGTAGGGAAACCTAGCCATGTTGCTTAAGGAACGTCTTGTACATGCTCAGGACAGGAATTTAGACTAACAGATGCCAAACAATATGTATTCTGCCTGTGTGCCTGGATGGAAACTTACATTTGGCAACATTATTTAGGGGATAGTTGGTGTGGCCAATGTCAGAAGCAAGCTTGGTCTGAAAAGCGGAGGTGAAACCCAACTGAACCCAGTACATTTTCATGAAAAGCAGATACATGTTAAGTTTGTACAGATATACACCAAACCCCCATTACTGGGAGAACACAATTCTTTTTTGTGCTTGCTTTCAAGCTCTTCTGCCAATTAGAGAGAACAGGGACATTACAGGAATATGGGTTCCAGGACACTCTCATAAGTAAACCCTATTTGAGGAGGAGGTTTTCACATTACTAACAAACCCCACCATCTCTCTCCCGAACCCCTTCTCCACAATACAAACATTTGGGGCTAAATTGAAGGTGCTAAATATATCTCTTCCCGCTGACCGGCTACAAGACAACTATCAATTCCCCTGGTTATTATCCCACCTAACCCACTTCAGAATAAACCTTACCATAGACTACCAACCACTATACTAGGCCATCTATCCAGCCCTGTTCAAACAATTATGGCACACTTTAAATAAATGGAAAGAACCTCATTTTTACTTTGCTAGAACGTTACCTGTACCTATCCATTTATTTAGAATTTGAAACTTAAACTTAGAGACAAGTTCTAGTACAAGTGGATCATAAGAACAGATGAGAGGGTCCTGGGTCCCTTAATGTACTCAAGCAGCCAAGGTGCCTTTGTGCCAATGATCCACCATACTGATAGACATGTAATGAGTTAAGCCAAACAGATACTCACAGACAACAAGCTGCAGAAGCAGGACAGGTTAGGTGTCCTTCCGTGACCAAGTCACTGCAGGTAGTAGTGAGGGGGACTGACCCTGGACCCTCGCATGGATCCAGAAGTGGTTCTTAGGCCTCATTCACACACAACGTAAGAACAAAATTGTATAGTGCATTAGTGCATATATACACACACACACACATATATATATATATATATAT